TTGTGTTTTTTTTGGTTTGTTTGGTTTGGTTTTTTTTTTTTTGTTCTTTTTTTTTGCTGCAGGGTTGATGCGGGATCCACAGTGGCTTTCAAAAAATTCAGATTGGGAAAGAAGCATCCAAAAGATGTACAAGAAAAACTAAAAAAGCCAGACTAGAGTCTGACCAATTTTAACATTTAATTTTTTAATGAAACCATCAGGCTACTTTGGCTGGATGGCCTGTGCCATTCATATCTATTAAAAAGACAACGCAAATGCATTTTAGTACCACTGGATCCCCTTCAATACTGCCTCAGTCGTATTTGTTAGAATAAAAAAAATACCAATTGAAAATGCTGTCGTCTTTTGAGTAAGATGTTGCATATTTTGCCTTTTCATTTTCCCCCTTCGACGGTAGCGCTTAGGGCCCTCACCAAACTCTCAGTAACCATGGTAACTGTATACATACCCATGCTGGCGATGGTGCTGAATGGTAAGTGGAGAAGTCCATCTGCCGTTTCACGTATTTAGCGCTGATATACCACGTGAATTTTTTTGACTTGTTGTATTAAGTTTTCTTGATGCTACATTTTTTTCTATATTGGTACGCCTGTAATTGAGTGTACGTTTTAAGCAAGCCTGGGAGGCACTGATTGGATTGAGGATATGACTTCGTGCACATCTTACTCAGATTGTTAACTCCATATTGTGTTAAATAATGCACCCTCTTTTTATCCTTTTGTTAGCTGTGATTTTAAAGCTTGAATGATTTTGTTAATTCTTGCAATGAAAAAGGCTCTTGTTCCAAGTGTTGAATGCTAGATGTTGCTTTTCCAATGGTACTTCTCTTCTAAAGGGTTATGTTGCACACTGCTAAAATCGTTTGTCCCTTTTTTTGACATTTTCTTTGTTTCCTTGTACCTTGTCTCTTTCCCTTCTACTCCACTGCATGTTCCTTCATATAATCTTTTTTTCTGTTTTGAGTATTTATTGTATCAGTGTTACCATGGAATACAAGCATGCTCTTAAGTCTTAAATTATGCAGTACCTTTTAATTTGCTTTTAATGTCTTTTTATTAAAGTTTAAATGATATGATGTTGCTTTATTGAAATGATTTGTAAGTTAAAATGGTTATGAAAGTAAATGTAATTATAAATAGTATGATTTTGTTATGCACCTGTTGCCTTCTATAAATTAAATTGCATTTTATTTTTACACGACTAATAGCAGTAATAATGCATGCATCTAATAGTAACATGGACCCTCCCTGTAACCCTTTCTAATCCAGTGTTCTATGTGCTTAGGTAAATAATGCAACAGCACGTGTAATGACAAATAAAAAGACCGTCAACCCTTACACGAATGGTAAGTGCATGAGATCTCAGTGCTTTGTTTTCATGTCCATGCATGTGAAACCTCACTCTTCTGCTGAATGGGTGGACTCATCTACTCATGAAGTGTCATAGTCTGCATCTCCATGGGCTCAGGCTTTGTCTAGGGACCTAAAACATGATATGGCTGGGCATAAATTCCATCTGTTCAGCTAATTCACAGCCACGTGGGCATAGCATGCATCATTTTGGCTGATTGGAATCTGAGTGTTTAACTACAGTGGCTTTTGTATAGGAAAATATAGCTGATAGGAAAGCGTTGCTCTCTTCTAGTTTTGTGCAGTGTTAATGTTGCGAAGAATGAACTAATCGGAGGATTCAATTTTGCTTGGATGATGGAGGTAGGGACATCAGTAAGAAGGATGTCTCTGTCAGGCATGACATACTTTTTAGTACCAAGACACGCATCTAGTTAAAGATAATTTTCTGTGTCTTCTTTCCACGATTTGTTAGAAGTAAAGGGCAAACTGTAATTGGGTGCTGCTTCCAGCTTTTTTCCCCTGGAAAAATGTAAATTCCAAGCTATCTAAAAAAATTCATTCTAATACTGACCTAAGTTGGTATAATGCTGTACATTAATGATAGAAGAATAATCCATAGATATTTGAGGGGTTTGGAAGCGATACATTTTAAAAATGTTTCCTTTAGCAGTGTTTGATCATGTGCTTGAGTTGTTTGCATTTGCTAGTTCAGAAAATTCTAAGCAAGTTCCTAACTCAACAACATCAAACGATAATACATCAATTGAAGTTAATTGCAGTTACATTTTCCAGTTTTACTAGACTGCGTAGTTATAATTATTTGCTTTTCAATTTAATTTAGTTTTTCCCATCCAGTAGAAAGCAGATGAAATCTGCACACACATCAGTAAGGTAGATTAGACTCTTTTCCATTTCAAAATATAATGCATCTTATTTTCCATATCCGAGGTCTCATTAGTGAGGTTTTGCTAAAACCCAGAGCAAACAGTGGCTTTATTTTTTAATGAAAGAGTCATAATTTTTTCCTACCACAGTAAAAATAAAATATAGTGATGGTTTTCATTTGACGTGATAATTCAGCTAGTTGAAATGATCTGGAGAAGAAGAGTCTGAAATTCCCCGTGCTTTCTCAGAAACTGTTTTCTTCCTCGTTTTGTATGTAAATGTGGAACTTGGCAAATGATGCAGATGGGAAAATCTCCTTCATTTTTACTGGCTTTAAAATATCTCAGTGAATCTAGCAAAAGAGACACAAAGCTTGAATGGATCACATAACAAGAGTTTGTTGCAATAAGGAGCTAAATTAACTATATGCATATGATACTATGACCTTTGTCTGCTATATTGTAATGATAAAAGGATAAAAGTAGTTTTGTTATAAATGATGATGAAGAGACACGAAGCTTGAATGGATCACATAACGAGTTTGTTGCAATAAGGAGCTAAATTAACTATATGCATATGATACTATGACCTTTGTCTGCTATATTGTAATGATAAAAGGATAAAAGTAGTTTTGTTATAAATGATGATGTATATTTTGTATTCATATTATCCTAAGGCTACAAAACTGTTAATTAGCAAATAACACATTACATATCAGCACAACCAGTGCTGAAGAAAGGGAATGCTGGAAATAAAGATGTGAGATTTTTACAAATCTGGTTTTAGAGGAGGTTCACCTCTGCGTCCTACACTGCAGGACTACTTAGGTCATGCATTAGCATTTATTAATATCCAAAACCAGAATGATGAAAATCTGCTGTTAAGTGTTTCCCACTTGAAGTGTTTTGTGTCTGTCATTTTCCACCCTCTTCCATCTGGACTAGATCCCACCAAAAGTATGAAGCATCCTGTTTAGTGCATAACAATTAGCATTTATGTTTGTGAATCCATACATCCAAGGTGTGCATGGATGTACATCCAGTACATGCAGGATGTTCTTTTGCACACCAAGGCAAACTCTAGCTGTAGTTCATACATTTTGATTTCTTTTTTTTTTTACTTTTTTTTAAACTGTCTGAGATCCCCTGAAGTAAACACAAGGAGAATCATGTTCTTGCGTAATCATTACAAGCGTCAAGGAATGAAGTGTAGACGTGCAAGGTCCTTCGTTTAGTCTAATCAGTGCTTCTGTTACCAGTCATCCTGACGTTATATGATGCTAGTTCTTTATCATTTTGTCAGGAATTAACCAGTGCTATAGCTGATTATTAAAGATTATTGTTGTCTAAAGTAAAGGTCTCATCTTCTAAATAAAATATAAGGCTAGTTTCTTCTACAAGCATATTAACATTTGCAAGATGCTTCTGACGCAGATAGCCAGAAACTTTTTGTCTGCACGTGCCTATCTCTTCAGACCAACTTCTTTTTTAACGTGTGGCTTTATTTTTCAAAGAGTATGTGGTGACTGACATGTTACTGGCAGGTATTCAAAACGTAATTGGGGCACATGTTGTATTATATGGAAACATCAGACACTAATATTTATTGTAATTTAAAAATAAGATACACTCTGTTTTGTCTTTCATTCCCGAATACTGCCGGTTGTCTGATAACAGGGCTCATGTTGTAAATATGATTGCAAAAGTCAGTAGATCTTAAAGCACAAAAACCTAGACTTTTTTTAATATATGCAGCTTAATTGAAATAAGTTTTTTGCTTTTGTGTCCTAGATGGTTTTTGGAATGAGTATGCTTTCCAGTGACTTTTGACGATTCCTGAAATGAGCAGTTAATAAATGCTCAGTTGCTAGGAGAGCTTTTTTTTGTGCAGGTTTGTTATCAGACAGGATGATTTTGATGGCTGACCTCATGTGCTTTGGAGATAGAACTGCCTTTTCTTTGCAAATAAATTCAGTGTCAGGAGTTCTACTTGTTGGCAAAAATATTTCGGAGACATTTTTAGAGTTCCAACCTACCCTGTTCACAGTTATTCTTTCTTCTGATGCCCATATTGCAATTCAGGATGCTCATCCAAGTGTTGTAGGAAATAGAGACTTACGTGCAACAAGTAGATTCAGAGAACCACAGCAATGAATGAGGAACATGAAACAGAGATCAGTAGAGGGATACATATGTTTTAAAGTTTATACTTGCGGTGCCTTGAATTTGAGCCTTCAGCTGATCTAAACTTAGATTCAAATGCACAGCTGGTGACTGTTACCACAGTTAAATTCCCTCCCGCTCCCCTTTCCTGCCCTCTGTTTGCAAACAGGAGGAAAGCAAACGCTGTGACAGGGCTTCTTTCCCGCCAAAGCATTCCTCCGGCCACGGGTGCCTGAAGTCTGGCCTATGAAGTGAAAATAATCCTCTCTGCATTGCTGTGCCCCACTTTCTGCCAAAGCTTGTTACACTGGGCAGCCTGACTATTTCCTTCCCTTTAGCACACTTCGCCTGTATTTCTTTCGATGACTATGGGGTGGGGTTTTGGGGCAGGCAGAGGGGTTGTTTGTTTCCTTGTTCGGTTTTTAAGTTTTGAGCTTTTACAGTTTCAACTTGAGGAGGAGATTAATATTGTGACAGTAAGAAAAATGCAAAAAATTACACCCACTGCAGAGAATGTGCCTCCTCCAGCTGCTGAAGTAGGGTTACTTGGCAGTTGCTCGCTCAGATACATCAACTCCTATCACAGTTGATTACCCACACAGCTATGGGCCAGCACATTGCTAGCTGACAAGATAAAGTTAAGTTTAATTACTGTTACTTTCATGATGAATGAAGTATTTCCCTGTATAAGCTTCAAAAAGTTAGATGAGACAGCCATCACTGTGAAAGGGGTAAGGAACTGAAAGATGAGTGGCTTTCAGCTGTGAAGAGCAATGTGCATCTTCCGAGAGTGTTTCTTTCTTAAATTGTGGCGCTCTTAGTGTAACTTAGAAGCTGAGAGGTGTCTGTCAGCTTCTTTGACAGCAAAAGCTGACAGATCTGAAATTCAGTCCAGTCTTTCATTTTGGATGGCATTGATCAGTGGTCTTTTGAGGAAGTAATGAATTTGAAATAGTAAATATTCCCTAAGCTATAAAAAGTTATATTTTTACTGAAAGTCTCAAAATTTGGATGATTTTCTATCACACAAAATTTGCCCAAGAGTATTTGTTATACCATGACATTCCTGGATACAGTCCTGTAGTATGTAAAACTGAAGGGTCAGGTAAAAATCCTGTGATCTTTTCAGGACGAAAGTCATTTTAACCCTTCTTGGTTGGCCATTTTTCAGCTTCCATAATTGTCTTTTAGGTGCGTATAGCAACTGCAATTACTTCTGCAGAGCGATTGCATGCAGCACCGCTCTTTGCTCTGTTTGAACTTATTAATGAGTTGCATTTTCAAAAACACCCCTCACCTCTGTTACTGAACAGTTTATTACTGGTAAATAGTTACTGTGCATCAGATAGAGATAGCAGTATTTTTAAAGGGTAGGAATAGTTTTCTTTTGTGTTGTTATTGAGATTTTGTGTTACACTTTTTCAGTCTCGTAATGCATTATGGTTTTATGACCTTCTACTGTGCTTTTGCATTACATGATATGGCCAAGGCAGAAACAAGCCTCAATACAGTTTGCATTTAAATTCTTCTAATCTTGGCTCTTCTGATTTTGAAAAGCCTTGTTGTCCCTGTCTTGATTGTATTCTGTTTCCAGCAGCATAGTTATAGGATCTATTTAAAGTACCATAGTTCTGGAGTTCACAAGATGCTTTTGCTCAGGTTTTTTCATTATTCCCATTTTACAAATGGTGCTTCCCACTCCTCTGATTCAAGCGTGCTTTTGGAAAACCTCTAATTTTTTCAGTCCCAGTAGTTCAAATAATTGTTCAAACACTTAAAAAAAAAAACAAACCAAAACAAAAAAACCCCATGAGTGTGGGTGGGGGGATGTTGTGTGGAGTTTGGAGTTAACTGGGAGTGGATCTACCTGTGGCTGAGCAAAACACAATAATTGGCACTTTACCACAGCTGAGGACACTCATGAGTTTGCCAGTGTTTTCTCCTGCTGTTCTCTTACCCCTTCCCCTTCAGTTCCTTCAGCATGGCTGTCTTTAGCATTACATATGCTTTGAACACAGGCCCTGCTTCTGCAGCGAGCCTGCGCACTCCGGGCTTACCTGGAACTGCCGCATCGGGTGTAAGGACACAACAGCAATTATTTGGAGTTTGGCCAGAACACACACTGCAGAATATCTGTTGGTACTGTGCTTTGGTTTTATGCCAGCTGTGGGAGGAGGGTGATTATTTAAGACAAAGGCAGTGGCTGCATTTGTACTGCTTAAGAGCTTTGCAGAATGTGACTGCAGCGTTTCCTTACATGCCAGCTCCTTTACAGCAGTATGCTAACAGCATTTATCAGCTGTAAACGCAGGCGGTACAGTCACTTTCGGTACATGCCTGTAGTTGTCCTGTTTCAGTGCAGACAGTCTGATGTACAAATGCAAATGGAAAAAAAGGCTCTGGCATTTGATTGGGATCCCACAGTGCGCAAATCTCTCTCATGTCACAATAGACATTTCCATACAGTGTCTACGCTTTCATTTTTCCCAGGGTAGAATCAAAATGCTCAGATTATTTGATTGCCTTGTAAGCTACACTAACACATGCTTATCCGAAACATTTATGTCCAGCAAATGGACTGTTTTGGCCTCTCTGGCTTGTAACCAGAGAGTTAAAGCAATGAAAAAGAACTGATCTACTCTGGTACTACACGATACAGGGATACCTGAACTAGTTCTGACTTAATTCCATAATTTAAGGGAATAAGTCCATGGCAACTGTGCATTGCAGCCAAGGTAATTCACCTGATAATTTACTCCAGTACCACATGTCCGGAGAATGCCTTGTTTCATTACTTATTTCCATACTTCAGAGTCTGATATTAAAGATCAGTAATCTAAGATGCCTATAAAACTTTCATTAAAATGACCTTTTTTGAAGCCATTTTATCTGTATATCTCTATATAAAAATAAAATTAAAAAATAATTATTATCATTACTGATTGCAATATTAACTCCGTTATGTTTTTGTTTGCTGCAGGCTGGAAATTAAATCCAGTTGTTGGTGCAGTTTATAGTCCAGAATTCTATGCAGGTAAGGATTACGCTATAGTTGTCCATGCCATATTTTATTTTAGCATTCTTTAAAACATGCAAAAGTACAGAATATGCGTTTGGTGTGAGGTTTGGTTTCTTTGTTTGATTCACGTTATCTGCAAGTCATTTACAGATTTGTGATGCAGGATTTTAAGTTACCTGGGCATACTAAAGTTTATATAGAAGATACATGAATACCTTTTTATTGGAAAGTAGATAGTAACACATGAAATACACTGCAATATCCAAGTCTTACATGAGATTTTATTTTATTTATATTTTATTTATGTTTTATTTTATTTTATATTTCAGTACAGTCACTTTCCTCCAGGAATTATTTAAGCCTGGTGAGCAACAACAATAAAAAATCTATCTATAAATCTATATTTTGTGTATTATTCAGTTTCTTAAATTTTTTGTATTTTAAATCTATATTATGACTTGAGCCTTCACTGAGACCGAATTCTGATCCTGGTTACAATTTGGAGTTAATGAGATACAGTCTTTTTCTGCTGGAAGTCAGTCACGGCTAACAATAGTTTCTAAATGTGCTTTAGCAACAGTACTGAAAACAAGCATGGTTGTACTCCAAAACGCAGTTGATTTCAGAGGAATTTGAATCCTGCCCATAAACATAATCACTAGCAAGTCCAAAAAAGCCATTTTTTGAAAGCTAATAATTTACATCTAAGACAGAAATAACCACTGTAAATCCAAATGTTTCTAATAGGTAATAAAGTTGCCGTCCTTTCTTAGGTTCCAAAATCATATATGTCTTCCATGACTTTCACGGGAAACAGAATTTTTCAGTTTTCCATTTGGATCTGTTTTTCAGTTGCCTGGGTGTGTGTGTACTGGATACAGATACCTAATCATGTTTTAAGAAACAAAAATATTTGTCCATTGTCACACACTTAGGTAATTGAGAATAAAGAGGTAATTGTAGAATACATTCTTTAGAGCAAGTAAAGAACAGATATTAGGAAAGCATTTTTCACAGATGGTGGTTAAGCATGGGAGGTTGCCCTCAGAAGCTGGGGAATCTCCATTCATGGAGATATTCAAGCCTCCACTAGACAAAGCTGAAAAACTTTCGTTAGTTCAAGGGACTTGAAGAGATAAAAATTATTAAATAGGACTACCGTTACAAACAGAGATTTATTTTTAAAAAGCTGCCTCTAATACACCCAGTTCCATCTACTAAGATAGATAAAAATGTTCCAATTAGGGTAAAAGTGGCACAGTATAATAAAAATACTAACTTGGCATTCATGGAATTGCAATATTTAGTGTAGGCAGAATTTATTTCCTTCCTTGATGTATGCCTACATTGAAAACAGGAATTTAACATTGATCTCATTTGAGTAGTTAGTGAACCAACCCTGAACCTGCATAAATTAGAAAGTCAGAGTTATTAGTCATTTTATATAAATGACTTTGTGTTAATGACAAATATAATAATATTCCCATAGTACAGTAATCAATTTTCTAATACGTATGCAGAATTAACAATCTGACTTATAATTGTCTCATGAACTAGGGCATGAAGAGTTCACATAGTTTGTAAATTAAAATCAATATTTTCAATCTCTCCTGAAGGTAATTTTCCTAATTTCCTGGACTTTTCCCTAACATTTATTTTGTCTTTTAATTATAAAATGGCAGGTTATTGATTTTTTTTTTTATACCCTCCTAAAGTCCCAAGTGCATTTTTATTGCCAACACAAGGGAGGTGTTTGCCCTTCTTAATGAGAATCTTTAATTACCATTAGAAGAGTATTAATTTAATTTCATGAATTATGACATGCACTCCACCACACCTATGCAGAAAGTTCTACCAAGATACTTCATGAATTTCAGATTTTTTCTCTGTTTATACATGCAGGCACTTTTGGGTGTTTTTTAAAATGCATATCAAAAGCATATTTTCTGTATTGACTAAAAGATATTTTTTTTTCTCAGACATTTAAACTTTCTTTTAAGCAATTTAGTTAAAAAAGAGAGCTCTGTGCAGATCTCTTAAACTCGTTAGAAAATGAAACAGTGAAAGAGCAATGCAGTTCTTGCATGCCGTAATAGAATACTGCGACATATCTTTCCTTTTGGGTTCCCTGCCACCACCTTTCTTGGAGAAGAAGCAATTGCACTTTTGAAGATTATAGAATTAGAAATGTGATTTTTAAGACAGTCAAAGTTCTAGTTATTTGGCTTAATTATTGTCTCCAACTGTCCTGTTAAAATTGTACCAACTCTTTCATAGTCAGTGCAAGACGTTCCTTTAGCTCCTAATAAATGATGAAAAATTTGGCCACTTCTGAAATAAAGATGATACATTTGCAGAGAAACTGTTGATTTAAAGTATCTTTAATCTTCATAAATAAGTAAAAAACCAGAAGGTTATACAAAGCTGTCAGGATGGCACTGATGAATGGCAAATTCACCCGTTTCTCAATTGCTGGTGAAGACACACGCCGCAAGGCTTAACCGTATTGTACATCATATCTGCCAACTCATTTCTGTGATTAAATATTCCATCAGTGCGGGCTATAAGGCGGTAAAGCTTAACAAGATTCATAAGATGCACCACTTGAATACACATAACTCACTTCCTTGGATACAGAGCACCCCGCATGCAAAAGAAAATTAGAATTGAGTTAAATTACTCCATAAGACAAGATCAATAGAGAAAGGAAAAGATCCCCTAATGCAATGCAAATCTAAGATATAGTTATGTCCTGACAACTTGAAGCAGACAATTAAAGTCAAATAGGGAGGAACGCAATGTAAATCAACCCTAAAACCTTGGAGATAATGGTAAACAGTAGGACCAGTGACATGATTGTTATAGCTCTGCTTTTTTTCTGAGTGTACACTTCCGTAAAAGAAATCCTTTATTGAGGAAACGCATGACAGCTAAAGATGGAGACTATAAGATACATAGCAGATGCACAACAGACACAATGTCAGTAAAGTATTACTTGGGGACTGGAAAATACTATATATTTACAAAACACTATAGATTTTTCTTCCTGAGTAGCCTTTCTAAGACTGTTTTTCTGACTTTGAAATGCTCATGCTGTAGTAAGTTAGAACGCTCCATAAAGATGGCTATTTAGGTCACGTGGTAGCATTAATATGGATTTCCAGTGACACGTTCATGAAGCGCGATTTGAAGACTGCTGTTGTAATTCCGAGGCCTAGCAAGTCTCCCTAACAGCTGCCGACTGCGGACGTGCTGGTGAGCTGGCTAACTGGCACACCTCCTGCCCGTCCCACAGGTCCGCTGGGAAGTCCTAAAATGACATTTCATAGAAAACAAAAGGACAGTGACTTTTTCAATTTATCATTTTCAGCGTTTCACAGAATTCCACTTTTCCATGTATCATAATTGATAGGTAATTTTTAAAAAATAATTGACTTATGTCCTCATAGTCTCCTTCTAGTAACTAAAAGGATACTACTTAAGGTGCTTTTCCTGCTTATGAGAAAGAAATGTTTAATGAAGTTATCATTTCCATTTCAGCTTACCTTTTCCAGTAAACTATTTATCAAGTTCTCGGGCAGGTCCTAATGAGGAAATTTGTAAGAAGCACTGTGTGATTTGTCTCACAAATTCTTCATGTAAACTGGGACAATTTTTTCATTTATTTCTATATCCATCCAATTTTAAATCCATCCCATAGTGACCCATAATTTTGCTACGTTAAGCTAGAGTCTGTTATCTTCCCCCATACACTCATCTATGGCTGGCAAAATACAGATTTGCAGTTTGGTTTCTTTACTAGGAGTACTCTGGTACTTTCTTACCGTAAGTTGTTACATTCTTTGTTTCTGTGGTTTGTTATAATATCATTTTTACCTGTTTATTTGCTTTTATATGGTGTATATTTTATCTGTATTACCTAGCCTTCCTTTCAGCCTCGGGAAGTCTGAAAGCGAAGTTCCATGTTGTTCCTTTCAGTTATTGCAGATCATTCTTTTTTTTTTTCCTCTTTTGTTTTTTGGAATGATGAATTTTTGAGCAATCTCTTGCACTCTTCTTAATGGAATATAGAATATTGTTGCACCCATATTACTACAACAGATCAGTCCTTTAAAGCAGATAGCTTGAGACACAGTAAGGCCATTTTAAAAGACTTTGTTCTTGTAAGTGGCAGAAAATATATTTTAGGGCGCATACCTGTTGGAGCGGCTTCTTTTTGGCAGTTCCAGTATGCAAGGCAGGGGAAAAGATGTTACAGAAATTACCTGGGAGTCTAGGGAATCTTCTTTCAGAGAACAGTTGAATTCAGAGTGATCCACGTGAGAAAATATTCTTGTCTGGTCATAACCAACAAACAAATTTCAAAAATTTCAAAATTTAAGTTGGCAGTGGAGAAAGAAAGGACTTAAGACTAGTGAAGAAGAACCTTTAGAACAAGTTGTGGAGCACAGCTCAAAGACAAGTAGTAGAGATCCCATTCTCCTTTTACTTAAGCGACTAATTACGTATTGTTTTTCCTGAATAGTCACAAAGTGCTACAAGTTTTTCAGAAGCTAGTTTCAAGAGTCATCCTATGTAGCTGAGTAGTTGTATTCACTTCATAAATAGTCTTAACCCAGAGAGGACTATTGTAGGCACCCAGTTTCTTGGGCAGTTAGTAGTTATCATTCCAAGGTGGCTTGGAAAACTTTCCCCATCAGTTAAAATGAAAGAAAGGGGAAGAGCTTGTGGTTTTGACCATTTTATATGCCCAAGAAAGACAGAGAAGTTTTAGATGCCTGGGGCTTTGTAGCATGCTGTGGATTTTGAAGCTAGCAGTTATCCTCCAAGAAGCAGATTTTGTAACAAACTTCCTTTCACAAGTTTGTTTAAAACTTTGAAATATAATTTTATATATAATTAAGAAGTGAAGAAATACCTTAGTACTATATATATATAAACACGCGCTTAAATAAGAGGAATCCAGGGGATGAGAGGATTCCTGTATGTTTGCTAACGCTAATTCTCTTTGTTCA